ATTGTGATATTAAACGACGTTTACCACCATTATGTACAGTTTCATTTGGTAATGCTGAAGAATCCATTTGAGTTGTTGTTTGTGCGTTAGTTGGTGAAACAGCAGCTACTTCTATTGATGATGTATTTGATCGATTTGAAGATGTTAATGTAACAGGTGTTGATTGTTGCTGCTGCTGTCGACTTAATGTTAATTCTTTTGCAACCTTTTTCAAATTTTTCATATGATCACATCCATTAGATTGCAAATGTTTATAATAATTAGACACCTGAACTTTATTATCATTTTCCCTAGACTGAAAGGATAGGGTCTAGAAACGGGAATTGATCTGTCCGCGTGTATATCGTTTTTGTCGGTAACATGGCACAAATGACCATTTTTTTGGCACAAACGACCACGTAACTATGGCACAAGTAACCATTTTTTTGGCACAAAGGACCACTTCTTTGGTACAAATGACCATGTAACTATGGCACAAACGACCATTTTTTTGGTACAAATGACCGTGTAGCTATGGCATAAATGACCACGTAACTATGGCACAAGTGACCATTTCTTTGGCACAAATGACCATTTTTTGGTATAAATGGCCATGTAACTATGGCACAAGTGACCATTTTTTTGGCACAAATGCCATTTTTTTGGTATAAACGACCATTTTTTTGGCACAAGTGACCATTTTTTTGGTACAAATGACTATGTTACTATGACAGAAATGAGCAGTTTTTGGCACAAATTACTATTTTTTTTTTGAGACAGCGACCACGTAACTACGGCACTAGTGACCATTTTGGTAAATATGGTACAAAAGACCATATAGTGCCCATATTACAAATCAGCATATGATGTATAATAAAATTGTGACAAGTGAATCAGAACAAATACGGAATTTTATGATGTATGAAAATGTTATTATTTTAAATGTGATTTTTATTGAATATAAATAGCGCTAATTTTATTAGCGCTTTTTTGTACTCAGAAGAATTTTAGTATTAACTTTTTAATCTTAATCCTATAACTTTCTAACACATATGTGTCCTTATGACGTCAATCTAGGGCCAGGTGAATCGACTGTTGATGAACGTTACTTGTTTACTTAATGATATTAATTTATTACACTTGCATTTTATACTAGCTTTTACATCAGAACTTTCATCATAATCAATATTTAAAAAAAAATCAAAATTTTCTTGTAAATCAAAATGTTCTAAATGAAAATTTTCTTTGTTATCCGAACACCATTTGTGAATGAGTTTCAGTACATGTGCTGTATTTTCAACCAAAGACAATTTATTAGATATTGATGGTGCTTGTGTTGTTGCTGTTGCCGGTGCTGTTGGTACTAAAGAATAGATTGATGATAAATTTGTATTAAATAATTGTTGTTGATGTTGTTGTTTTCGTCCTTTAGATTTTGTTGATTGTTCATTAACCTTTGTTTTAAAGCATCTTTTAACGAGCGAAATCCAGCAATCACACTGCGACGGATTCTACCCGTCACTACTCTTCATGACCCCGATCGGGCACATCGGTCATGTTCTAATGTTCTATTCATTAATCATTCTCTCTCGTTTTTCTCTCTGCTGGAATATATATACTGCGTTCATATATTATTGTTATTCATTATTGAAATAAACTCAGAACGAGTGAGTCGTTCCATCACACGTGGCGAAGATACTACTGGTGTCATTCCTAAAGTTGAATACGATTCGTCGACAAACTCATTCATTGGATTTACAACACCAATTGTTGATGGTATTCCATTGACGAAACATTATCAAGCTGATACATTTGATGATTTTTAATCATTTATAGTACCAATGAAACAGCACCATTATTGAATGTACATATGTTCCAAAGTATATCAACAGAAGATGATCCAACAAATTTTCCGAAACCAGTTTTACTCTCTGCTTATGGTGTTGACAACAAATTTACAGCTATGAATATTTTACGACGATGGATGTATATTTTTGAACGTTGTTTAGATAAAGATGTTCGCATTATCGGATTTTCTACAGGTAAATTTTATTTATACAATGCTCCTCTCAAATGTATCTTAATTGTAAATAGATGCAGATAACAAATACATAAGTGCCATGCGTCTTGCCAGTAATTTCTTCGCATCATTAGCCAATTTCAAATTAGACAAGCATCAACATGCATTTAAAATAAATATACCGAATGACTGGATTTGGTTTTTTTTAGTAGAAATCAACTCTTCTTGTTTTTTCAAGATCCGGTACATATCGTTACCAAATGGCGTAATCGATTGTTATCATCAACAGCGGATTTATATATTGGGAACGATAAAATTAGTATTGCACATATAGAACAACTAATCGATAACAATAGTTATACAAAATTAGA